GTAGGGAAACAACCAAAATAAGGATTTCAATGCTTCTGGAGCATACAATTAGAGGCAAAGGAAGTAGTTATAGTAGTGAACAGATGTTTGGTCATGGACGGGAATCATGGTATCTGAAACCTTTTCTGTAGAAAAAAGAGCCACTGCAGATCAACAGGGAATTAAAATATCCTAGTAATCTTGGATTTCAGACTAAGAGATGACTGCAGATTTGAAAATCATGGAAATAAAATCAACATGATTTATTAATTCCATTGTAGAAGATGAGTGTTAAGTAAATGGTCCTTAGCTTTTCCAGTTATGCTCTCTTTAGATATTGAGATTACAGTGTTACCATGTATTAAAGCCAGAATGTTATCTTTCGAGAAGGTATTGTTTTTCTCAACCTTACTGTAAAGATTGGGGCCTAAAATGAACAAAGTGGTGAGGGGAAATTGGTTTTGCTGGATCTCTCTTGGATTTGGGATTTATAGACTTGAGGGCATATTCCATCAAATGAATTTGTCATTTACGGGCAGATCGGTAACATTTCTGAAATATTATTTCCCATTTGTTTGCTCTGAGCAAGTATTTAGGATTAATACACTCTTGTTTTGACCACAAGAAATGCAGTATCTGAGGCCACTGTGGTAGTGCTAGTGGCCCAGGATTGTGAGCTCCTTGATGGCAAGTTTTGTTTCTTTTCTACACCCCTAGCATCTAGTTCAGGACCAGATACATTGCAAATAACTCCTAAGTATCATATCAAATGATGCTTGGGACTAGCAAATGTTTAATGAGAATTTAACAAAGACAAAAGAGGAGAGCCCCAAAAGGAGATACATTTCTGGGGGTTAAAAAGAAAAGTTATGGGAGTCCACCTACAAGCCATGTGTTGCCAATATTTGAAGAAGTCATTTTAAGGAAAGTGTTTTATTGGGCCAGCCAGTGGCACGGTGGGTAAGGCAGCTGGATTCCATATGGCCAACTACATGATTTAAGTCCTGGACTCAATGACCTGAACACACTGGGCAATGTGCGAGTGTGCCCAAAATCCTGAGAGGAGAAATGGAGAGGGGAGTGCAGCAGCACCTCTCTCTCTGGGGCAAGGGGAAGGGTTACTTTTTTACTTTACCTCTGTGACCATTGAGAGCATGTACCCTATACAAATAATAATAAAAAAAAGTGCTTTCTCTAGGAGTCAGAGATGACTGCTAGGTAGCTGGGGTAAATTCTCATACTAAGACAGGAAAATAATTGAATTTGGGGGGAGAAGCATTCAGTTGTAGGTTTATTTGGCAAATGTTTTGAGTGTGTCTACTACATGTCACTCAAATTGTAATTAAGAGCTTTCTGGCAGTAATGTGAAGGACAAATTAGAGGAAAGAGATGCTGAGCTTTGTTGGAAGCAGATGAATCTCAGACTAGGGCGAGATACCACAGCATTGTCACTAAAGCTCATTACCTCTCTGCTGCACCAGTGATCCTAATACCCTCACCAGCGTTTACACATCTGACAACGGTTAGGTTTAGTGGGGCAAATATATTCTGAAGGTATTGCCTATGATAAAATTTCTTACCACTCTAATGGGGATATGGCAAGCATCAGGCCCTGCTAGCAAGTGTTCAGGCCAAGGGAGACAGCGCCTTTCCAGGCGTTCACATGATTACCACCCTAGTCAAGTCTGAGTCTATGGGGTGGGCCAAGCCTGGCTTCACAGTAATTAGCGGATATAAAGGAGCTCCCTGTTTGTCACATGGCCTGGCCATTCTGAGGCCGGATTTCCTTTTTCTGAGTTCCCAGAGAGGCCCAGATTTGACAACAATAAAAACTTCCAGAAAATTTCCAGGTTTAAGTTCCTAATCTTCCTCTCACTTTGACCCTTTTTTCATCCTCTCCCCCACCAAGAAGGAACTTATCCTGGAGTCCACCAGCTTCTGTTGAATTCCTCCACCCCTTTTGTTGGGGTGATGGTATATCTAAGTTCTTAGGTTCCCTCCTCCAAGGCCCATTCAGAGGCTGAAAGTATCACAGAAAGGTAAAGTGTGATCTTTCTCAGAAACAGGAATGGTTGTAGGTCCCCTGAGGGTTCCCAGAATATCAGATTGCTTAAAGATGTTTCTGTTGCAGATGTTTACTCCCCCCACCTGACAGGAAATAATTTCTCTCTAAGAAATCCCAAGGGCTCAGTCTCTATGCCGGATGTCCAATCATCTTTGGAAGTGACTTTGGAATTTTTGGATACATGCCTCACCTAAACTGGAATTAAGAAAAATACTACTGAGTCAGCAGGTGCCATGGAGGTTAAGGCAGCTGGATCCTACATAGCCAACTCCACAATTCAAGTCCTGGACCCTGTGGATTGAAAAGCATGCATGGCATGTTTGCCTCAAATCCCAATAGGTAAATGGAGAAGTTTGTGGCATGAGCATCTCCTCCTGGCCCTGAAGGGGTGGTGATTTCTTACTTTCCCTCTCTCTTTTTCTGGTGCACTCACCCAATAGCAAAAAACTAAAAAACTTCTATCCCAGGTAGACTGAACATTTGTATAGTTCTCATTGTCCAGAAATTTCAGGGGAAGAAAACTCATTTTATATATTTTTATAAGGATTTAATCTATTGTGCAGAGAGGGTTATATGTTTTCCCAGGAAACCCATCAATATTACCCATTTAACAACTCTAGTTCCAGATCTCACTCATTAACAGAGCTCAAAACCCTGTGACCATGGGCACTGATGAGGGTATGCTACAGACTCTCCAGCTCTAATTAAATCCCTGGAGTTTGAGCTGCGTGGGTGTTGCAGATGCTTGCTTCCTGGTTTTGGCTGAGGTCCTGCTGCAGTCCTTGAAGCAGCTGGTTTAGAAGGGTCAGGTTGCTGTCTCTGGGAGGCAGAGGCAGGGGTGGGAGACAGTTCCCTTTATACTCGATCACTGCCATCTTGGCACGATCCTGCTCACTCCGATTTGGAATCTGCAACATTCTCGTATAGCCCCCATTCTGATCTCGGAAACGAGGGGCTAGGACTTGAAACAGCTTCGGGATTAAGTCCTTCTCCTAGGGGATAAGAGATATCCAGGAGAGCAGAGTCAGTCACAATTGCAGAAGCATTTAACTTTCAGGGATTAACAAAAATATGGTCCAAACGTACACACAGACTTCCCCATATCCCAATCTGGTAGGGTCAAAGTTAAGCTGAGGGATGATTTACAGGTGACAATGCAGGTTCATAATCACATCGAATACAGCTAACTTAGCACACGTTTCCACTTTAACTCACAACGTTGGTCAGTAATTGAGTATCCTCACTTAATTCTGCCCGGTCTCCCTTAGTCCAATAACCTCCTCTTCCACAGGGGGCAAAGGGTGTGATTTGGAAGGCAGACAGGACATACCGTAAGCCAGAAGTCAGCCATCCGCATGGCTCGTTCGTTGGTGTCTCCTAGCTTCCCATAGTCGATGAGCTGTGAGGACATAACATCACGGATCCAGTGCGATCAAGAAAAGTGCCAATCTTACTATTACCGGACCGCGATCCATTCATTCCACTAGCAAAGCATCTCTCTAATCTAAGCCGCCCCGACCTCCACAGTCCTAGCCAGTCTCACATCTGAAGCGCCAGAAGAGTGGTCTCAGCTCTGGGTACTAGAGATTCAGGTTTGGGGAAGGGTTTACCTGGGCGGTCCTTCTCCCCCTCCCAATCGGAACGGACCCCGCCCCCCCAGGACAGACCGCACGTGGGTAAGAGGGCCCCGCTCCACACCTTCTCCGCGTAGCCCCTCATCTCGTCCACGCGCGCCCATGACGCCTCGATGCGTTCGTGTCGCACCAGGCCCGTGAGCAAATTCCGCAACAGGTGGATACGGGACTCCGGACCAAGGCCCAGGCGACGATATACGCGGCCATGCGCGATGGCGGCCGCCACCGACAGCCGCATGTTCACCGCTACTCCCTGCCCCCTGGAGGCCGGATATGGAAACTCTCGAGCGGAAATGGGTGGAGGCAGTTTTAGGGGACGCATGCGCCGTAGCTCGGTGCGTGGCGGACGTGTTTGCGCATGCGCACACGAGGATGCCTCGTTGGCAATCTGGGGAGGGCGGAAAAGGGGTGGTGACATTTTCCACTGCAGGCGAGCTGGGCGGACTTTAGGTGTCGCTAGCGCTCCGTGACCGGCCGGGGACGAGGCTCCCCCTAGTGGGGGAGAAGCAGGCCATCGAGTTTCTCTATTGCGGGCCTGCGGACTCGCGGCATTTAGGGCGACGCGGGGCCGGGCCTCCGAGCCTGCAGAGAAGGTGAGGTTCTGAGGGAAGACGCCTGGCGGGGTCGGGGCCCTGCAGCCCAGAGGCCCGCCCGGCCTGGCCCTGCAGCCTGCGGCTGGGGGAGCTTACCCCCCCGAGCCTCATGGTAACGGCCCTGCAGCCTGCGGCTGGCGCAGCTGACACCCTGTCGCATCATGGAACACGTAACACGGTGGTTTTCCAAGGGTCACAGTGATGCATGCCCAGAAGAGAAACGCGGATTATGAGATTTTTGAAATGTTCTTTATTTTCTTATGTATAATCTTAGTTAATGAACAAATTACAGCACGAAAAGGAAAAATAGTGGATTAATACTTTAAAATGACACCAATTATTTTGAAAACAAAAGCCAAAAAACCACCCACACATGTGCTAAAAGAAATGAACATCATGCTAAAGTAATGAACATCATCATAGTTTTTGAAGCTTTGTTTTTTCCTTCGGTCAGAGGGCTTGTGTGCTCATCACAGAGAGTAAGAGGGAGAAGAGAAAGCTCTCCATTCCTCCATCCTGTTGGGATTTTGGCCACTCTGGCACAGTGGCTTGCAATGTTTTCCAGGTGCCCGGTTGGAGGACTCCAGCGGTGCTATTGGTCAGTGTGGGATCTGGCTGTCTTAATTGCTAGGCTTTTGCAAGCTGCGAGTTCATGATGACTAAAAATTACAACTTGTTATGTATGGAATCATGTCCTCCTCTTCCTCCCCAAAAGAAGTAATTGAGTCTTAACCTGTAATGTGACCTTATTTGGAAGCAGGGCCATTGCAGAGGTAATTACTTGAGATGAGATCACACTGGAGCAGGGTGGGCTCCTACACTGGGACTGGTGTCCTTATAAGGTGTCTTGTGAAGAGACAGGTAAACATGCAGGGTGAAGATGGGGAAGACATAGACATATAGGACAAATGCCGTGTGATCACAGAAGCTGCAACTGGAGATGGTTGAAATGAACCTGGGATTGCTGGGAAACACCTGTAGACAAGAGAAAGGACTAGAATAGACCTTCTGTTTACCTATGTCCATCAGAGAGCAAGACCTTAACTTCTTTTTTTAAAGGACTTTTTTATTTCCTTTGCCTTAGGGCACATGAGCTCTCTGAAAAAGAGACAAACACAGTGAGAGGGAAAGTAAAAAATCACCCCCTAGCCCTTAATTTCTGATTGATAACTTCCAGGTCTGTGAGACAATACATTGCCATTGGGTGTGTGTGTGTATGGTTTTAGATTTTTGTGATGGCCAGAGGAGAGAGACAGGGAAAGTGAGAAATCCTCCCCATCCGCCCAGGGGAGTGGTCATGCCTTAATCCCTTCTGCTCCATTCTCTCAGGGTTTTGGGCAAGCATGCACATAAATCCAGCAAGCTGTTGGGTCCAAGACTTGAACCATGCAGTCAACCATGTGGGATCCGGCACTTTAACCACCATGCCACCTGCTGGCCCCATTGCTGCTGTTTTAAGCCCTTCTATAGTGCAACCCTAGGAAACTGATACACTTCACATATTTATATTCAGTAGACTGTATAATTAGATTTGTCATTCTGTCCTTTGCTAATAGATGACCAACGAATATATCTTGTTAATTTTAATTTTGAAAAGTTTTTTTTTTTTCATTTCTGTCAGGAGAGAAGAAAGTGGTCCCAAGCAATGTTTATGGAAGGTAGCTGAAGGGAACCAGCAGTTAGTATAATGGCTATGTCGCTGGACTCCCACATAGTTGACCACGGTTCGTGTCCCGGACCCGGTGGCTTAAAATTCATGCTGGGCACGTGTGCATGCGTGCCCAAGATCCCGAGAGGAGAATGGAGGAGAAGGGATTGTGGCGTGACCATCTCCCCTGGGGGGTGATTTCTTGCTTTCTCTCTCTATGTCTCTCTCTGTCTGTCTGGTGAGTGCACGCACCCTATCGTGAAAACCTCTCAAAAAAAAAAAAAAAGAAGGTAGCTGAAGAAGAAGGAACTCAAAATTTGGAGAATTTTTGTCTATAATCCCTACTGGGAGAAGAGCGTTAGATATGCCCTATCACTGCAGAGAACCTCTGAATGCATGCATCCTATTCTGTGGAAGTGTCTGCAAAACAGTGTTCTATGCCAAGTGTAGGCAGCTCAGCGAATGTTCAATCAGGGATTTAGAGGTGATGGTGGCAAGAAATTATTGTTTGGATCCCAAGCCAACTTCTTAGTTATATCTCTAGAATTCTTTATGTCTAGAAGTATTGCAAGGACTGGCTCTTTTTGTTTTAATTTTAGATTATATATATACATACACATACATATACTTTCTACCCTCATGTCAGGGTCTTAACTCCTCCCTGAATCTGATGTTCTGGGAAGAGATTGGAGAAAAACACAGGCTGTCCTCAGTATCTGATGAAGTGGTGATCATATTAGGGGCAGTTAAAATTAGTTTTTCACAGGTAACCCCTAAGATATTGAGGATAACAACAAGTCAAAATATACCCCAAATGGAAACAATAAACCTTGCAAGCAGTTGAATTTAGAAAAATAAGTTCCTGATCTATATGTGAATAAAGTTGAGGTGGTTCAGGGCTGTAAAGAGACTTGGAGTTTGAGTGAAATCAGCATAACCCTCTGTGGTGATGGTTCACTCTGGAAACGGTGACTAGCTGTTTCCAACTTGGCTTATTCTCTTCCTGTGGTGTTTTTCCCCCCTCCCTGTTTCATTTCCTTGTATTATTAGATGAACTGCCTGCTGCTGAAATTATAAGGTCCTTCAAGGTCAGAAAGGGACTCTGACTCATGCATCCCCTCTCCTTTCCCCTTGCCACCACCTGAAGTGATCACTCTGCTTTTTCTGTTTATAAGTCTTTCAATATATGTTGGCAGAAAATGGAAAAAGAAACAAACAAAAACCACAAAAAAACCTCTGATATTTTTTTGGTCATGTTTCTTGATGATTTCACTTTTACTTAGGACAATGGCTTTATCCTTTCTTTTCTCTTTGATTTGATAAATATTTGTTTAGAATTTTTCTGTGGATAGGTAATAAAATACCTTGTTAGCTAGCTTTCTTCATACCTCAACACCAAATACCTTGCTAATCATGTCTCTTCACGGTATTAAGGCAGGATACAGGGATACTGAGCACGCAGACAGGGTAAAGGTCCAAGATGGAATCACAATGCTAAGTTTTCAGACAAAAGCTGGCTACATTAGAACTCAACTGTAGCTAAGGGCAACAGTTTCTACTTACTAACTACATTCTAACAAGAAGTACAGATTGCTGTGGTCTGCTGAGCCCACAAAGAATGGATGTTAAATCACCCAGACTACCATGTAACTATTTTCTAAAGCCTACTTCCTTATCAGAGAGCCAGCTCCCCATTGCTCAGACTGCTAGATTAAAAAAGATCCCTTGCCTCAGCTCTTCTGCAATCTATTCAGGACCCTTCCCGGCTGAAGTTCTGTTAACCTTTTCCTCTCTTAATAAACTTCACTTTACTCTCCCCTCTCTGTGTCCGCATCTTTAATTCTGCATGAGCATGGGGCGAGAACCTGGTCCTCTCAGTCTTGAATCCAGCACTGGTGTTGGATCTGAACATCCTAATATCCTGTGTTAGTCTATACCTTTCTTTGTGACTTCTAGATACCACATCTTAGTTATTATTAGTTTTTTAAAAATTTTTGCTAGAGGTGGGGCTGGCAGGCGGTGTGGTGGTTAAGGGTGCTGGATTCCCACATGGCCGACTGTGGTTTGAGTCCTGGACCTGATGGCTTGCTTTCTCACTTTCTCTTTCTCTTTTTCCTCTGTCTCTTGCTGGTCAAAGAAAAATAAATAATGACAAATGGAATTAAATAAATACATGTTTCATAAAAATTTTGTTAGAGGAATGTATGTATGCTCACCAGAGAGAGAGAGAGAGATGGAGAGGGACAGGGAGAAGGAGAAAGCACCCAAGAATGAGGTATAGTCATGCTACAATTCCTTTCCTCCGTTTCCCTATCCTGTTGAGATGTTGGGCATGCATGTATAGGTGCCCAGAGAGTTTTTCAGCCCTCTGGACCAGGGATTCAAATCAAGATCAACCATGTGGTATCCAGCCTCCTAGACACAGCTTAACCACTGAACTGTGGAGCTTGGCCCTGGACTCTGTCTAAAGGCAGTAGAAAGCCACTTTGGTCTTTTAGGTAGAGAATGATGGGATCAGATTTGCATTTTAAACAAGTCTCTTTAACTTAGACTGTGAAAAAATGAGTGGAGAGGGCAGAAGTAGTCAGGGAATAATAAAAATAAATTAAAAAAAAGTAGTCAGGGAAACCAAGTAAGAAGCCCTCGCCCTGGTGATTAAGGTAGCCGGATCCCACTTACGGACTGCATGACTTGGTTTCAGTCTTGTACCCTGCAGCTTGGGAAACATGCCAGGAATGGTGTGTGCATGCCCAAAAATCCTGTAAGGAGGGAGAGATGGAGGAAAAGAAATTGTGTTATGACCATTCCCATGGGAGGTGCTACCTCACTTTCTCTTTTATTTTCTCTCTCTCTCTTGTGCGCACATGCATGTTCACACGTGTATGTGCAGGTGCATGTGGGGAAATTAGGGGGAGAAAAGTCTTTGTGGTGGTGTAGATAAGAAGATGGCGACTTAGAAGAAGTGGGGAGGTGGGGGTTCATTTACTCTTTCAGCAGATGGTTATTGAATACTTTCAGGGTCCCAACAGGA